ACGGGGAGTGGATCTTTCAACCTCATGATACAGGAACGCAATGTGCAGTCTGGTCTATGTGCCACCCTTATTCCATAGGGTGACAATAGCCTAGCCGTGGCTTCAGAAACATTACTGACATAGGGGAGAGTAATACGTGTAGTCTGTGGAAGTAGCTCCCCAATAGGTGGGTTATGGGGAGGTCTGGATAGAGCACTGTGGCGCCTGATAAATTTATTGGGGTATCCATTACGTCTACAGGTGTGGAACAGGTATTTCCTTTCTTCAGCCTTAGCTTTGGCCGTGCTGCAGTGTGAGTCAGCTCTTTTAAACAGGGTTCTAATACAGCTGACCTTGTGGGCCACCGGATGGTTGCTGTTAAAATGCAAAATCCTATCGGTGTGCGTGGGCTTGCGGTAGACCCTAGTAGCAAGGGTCCTATCAGGCTGGCGATGGACCAAAACGTCAAGGAACGCCAGCCTGCCTTGATGTTCCTCCTCCTCCGTAAACTGCAAGTCCACACACACCGAATTAAGTATTCCCACAAAGTCAGCCTTCCGACTCTTTTTGATGACAACAAAGGTGTCATCAACGTAGCGGGCCCAGAATTTGGGACAATACTGAGCCATCGCTACTTGTTCTATCCACTGCAATACAGCCTCGGCAACAACGCTGGAAATGGGTGACCCCATGGGAGTACCCTTTATTTGTTCATAGGTGTTACCCTGAAACGTGAAGTAGGTCTTGAGGCATAAACCCAAAAGGTCCACAAGATCTTCCGGGTGACAGGTGGAAGTGCGGGTGAATCGCTAAACGCAACGGCCTGCCCATACATCAAAAGAAACATCATGGCTGGTCCGGAAAGGAGGAGAAGAACCCCCCATGCAGCCGGAACGATCAGCTCTAATGAAGACAAACCACGGGAGGTGGTCGACGAAGAACTCTCGCACGCCGCTATGGAGGAGGAGGGAAGATCGGAGAGCGGCAAGGTGCGGAAGATCGAGCCGTTACACCCCCTGCCTGACGATCCTGAGGACTCCCATAGAATACACGCGAATGCTTTTAATAACGTAAAAAAGGGGAGAACTGAGGAAGAGCGCTGCAACCAGGAGGGACGCGGCTTGACCGCTGTGCACACACCCCCTGGACTGAGTACTCGGAGTAGGACACGCGCAAGACAGCTGGGCATGATAACGGACAAGAGACGATCCCTCTGCCTTGCGGAACACCCCCCCATGCTGCACCAGACCCGTAGTAATTTACGAGATCATCAGGATGACGGACACATTAAAAACGAAAGTATTGAGACCGGAAATGAACGCGACCCTAGAAGTAACAACCAGACAAGATATGGTGGAGAAAGGAATGCAGAATGTGCACTACCACCTGAGCCTGAGGGGAGGTTAGAATATAAAGGCAACCGAAATAACTGGAATTGCCATCTAGCTAATTCGGAGTTGGGAGAATTGGAGACGGATGAAGATAAAAATGCAACCAAAAAGAGAAAAGAAGTACAGGTTAATTGCACACAGCTGAACCAATTAGGCCCGATGACAAGATCGAGGAGCCGGGCGCAGATCTCGACACGCCTATAAAAAGACCTTCTCATTCTCTGGCGCGCCAGCCCTGAGGATGCCGGCAGGTGACGGCGAAAGCTTGGCGCTTTTTAAAACTTTTATAGTTTTAATTTATTAAAAACTTTTAAAGTTTTTATTACCCTGGTGTTCATTTTATATCTTCACTATGAATATTCCCAGGGTTCATATTTTTAACCTTTTTAACCGTGTATATATATATATATATATATATATATATATATATATATATATATATATGTCTGTGTGTGTGTGTGTGTGTGTGTGTGTGTGTGTATATATATATTTCTTTTTCTGACAAAGAATTAAAGAATTAAATTGGGAGACTAAGATGGCCATTTCGAGCTCATTCTGCTCTCTTCAGTTAGCCACACCCTTTATGGGATTCGAACCTGGGCAGTTTACATACTAGGCAGTGATTTAACCATCAAGCCACAGGCTCTCCTCCCTCTTTGCCAGCTGAGTCAAGGGAGTATATTGACAGATGTCTAATATACTCCCTTGACTCAGCTGGCAAAGAGGGAGGAGAGCCTGTGGCTTGGTGGTTAAATATATATATATCACAACATTTAATTATTGATTATGGCTTATTATACCAATTAACTAAAAGTATCCAAGAAGATGTGCAACATTAAAATAACAGAAATAACAACAATTAAACTTTAAATAATAGAATAAAATAAATCAGCCAGTGAAAACATAATATAAATATATTAAAATTGCAGTAAAAGCAATATTAGTGATTTTGAAAAACACATTTTCCCTTATAAAAACTTTACTCAAAAGTTAATTCTATATTACATATGCCATAAGGTATTTTTCTGTTCAAGAATAGATTGCAAATGTTAGATTGCTGCTATGTCAGAAAGGCTATGGAATGTTACCAAAATGTTTTTTAATGAAATATATTTCCTTTTGGCAAAGGTCATTTTGGTTGGGATTTATTACTATTAAAACTACAGATATGAATACAAATATCATATAGTTTTATTTGTAACTTCTACAAAACTAATATCTGGTTTTCTAACAAGTTAGAAAATCAATTTGGAAACAATAAACATTCCCCCCTTTTATTTCTTTTCATTGTATTTAATAATAGGTTTTTAAAATTAACTGAACATTAGGCTGAAACAATTGATCAGAATTAAAATCTGTTATTGATTGCATACATTGTCTATTGTAGCTAAATACATCTTGAACTGCTGTGCTGAGTTTTAGCAGATCATGGAATTAAAATCCAGTATTCAGAAGACAGATTTCAATAGGTTAAATAATGAATTCCTTTTTATTGAAAACTATAACTGATTTCTGGTTAATCATATGCTAAAAGTGATCACTTGCAAAGTAAATTGTGCATTCACCATGATGGAGTGCAAATGTGTAAAAATCAGGATATTGCACCTGCATCTAAAATAGAGAAATGAATGTTCCTTAACAATGCCTAATTACTTATTATTGAGAAGAAGAAATCTTTGTGATACAGGACCAATACATAATTAAATTCAACAGTATAAAGCAGGTTACGTATACAGTATATAAAGAACAACTATAAAAAGAACAAAATTCAATAATTATATGTTACTGGAAATGTGCCAATGGAATTAATGTAGTGTTTGGCATTGTTTAAAACAGTGGTTCTCAACCTGTGGGTCGGGACCCCATTTGGGGTCGAACGACCATTTCACGGGGGTCGCCAAACAAGGCTGTCCGCCATTTCCCTCCCCCCTTTTCTTTGGCCACGCCCCTGGCACCCGGTGATGTATAAGTGGTTGGGGGTCACCACAACATGGGGGACTGTATTATGGGGTTGCGGCATTAGAAAGATTGAGAACCACTGGTTTAAAACAAGGTTTTCATTCTCTCTCTTTTCAGGAGGGGGGTCAGGAACAACAATAACAATGTATTTTAAGGAATTTTTAGAATGGATGAAATACAAATCTATAAACTCTTTAGTTCCTATTCAAAATTTTTGTACACTTCAGTGAAACCTCTACGGAATACAGCCTAATTGTTATTGTTGCTGTGTTACGTAATAATAAATTATTCTCCTTTCTTCTTTTCATTCTTCCTCTGTTCCTTTTTCCCCTTCCTCTCCTTTCAGCTTCTGTAACTGATTCCAGTACTGTAATATGTATTTTAGAAGTAGTTTTCTATTACAGGAATCCTTTGCCCGCAGTTAGGTTATAATTTAATCATAGAAACAACAACAACATGCTTGTAGCACATTAAAAATTACAAGATGCATTGAGGTGTAAGTTTTTTAATACCAAGTAGATTTTTAAAAAGTTACTCTTAATTCATGCATCAAATACTCTAGTCCCCAGAAGCTTATTCCACAATTTATCTCCTATCCTTTAAGAAACAGTGCAAAATCTTTCACTGATCTTGTCAGAGGAATAATATGATATTTCTCTGATAGTTTGTTACACAATATGCCACTTTCAGGCTCCTTGATAAAACTACAAAGCCAAGTAAATACAAATATGATTTCTGGTTAATCATATGCTAAAAGTGATCACTTGCAAAGTAAATTGTGCATTCACCATGATGGAGTGCAAATGTGTAAAAATCAGGATTTCCTCCCTCTCCAGCTGTTTAAAGCCTAGATCTTAACAAATTTAGATATTTCCTATTTCATCATTGCCCTTTCTTCTGGCCCCAAGCGACAACTATCATTTATTTGTATTGTGACTTGTGCTGTGTGTTCACTTTTAAATAGATGTACAGCTGAATGTTGCAACATTTGGACATGCATATTGCCCATGTACTACCTTAGAGCTGAGTGGAGAACAACATGCCAGTGACTGGTGCTTCAAACCATTCCATGTATTTGTGCTCATTACACACACACACACACGCACACACACATACACACACACAAACACACCCCCACACACATGCATACACTCAACATATACACAGATGTCTTTAATGCCTGAAAACCTCTGAACTATCTGAAGAGTGGGACCACATGTTGTTGCTTTTTCTGTAGAATTCTGGTGAAGTTTAATGTGCAAAGACGACGATTTATACAAAGGTAACATTCAGAGTGGATAAGCAAATGACATGCCTAGCTTAAGCAAGCAGGCCACCTACTATACTTACTACATGATGGAAAGTTATGATTCTATCACAAAATGTGATCAGCCTTGGGCTAGCTGGAAAACAGCTCTGTTCCAATGCCTTGATGGAACTTGCAGCTCAGTCATCGATAGCCAGTGACGAGTGTTCGATGGAACGGCAAAAGTCTTACCAGCAAACATGGAAAGATAACTATTCTATGTAAATAAGAGCAAATTGCTTGGCACTAAATATAGCTTTGTGATTCAGCTGTGGGGTTTCCAATAATGCTGATTGTAAAGTATTTGAATAACACTAATGGCTGGACTGAGGTGTAATACAATCTGAATAATAGATTTGTCTTACCTTTCACTAAGGCATCCCATAAGGGATGATTTCTAGAGCCATCTTGATGTTGCTTTGGAGGGAGCCTCTTGCTGGTCTTCCTTGAAAAAATGAAAAAAGGCATTGAAATGCAGGCGGAGGAGGGGGGAGGGTGAAAAGTATAATTTTATACAAAATATACATCATTATACTTTAAAATGGGGAAAAATAAGGGGGAAAAAGTCCTCTTTTATTCTTTTAATACAGTTCCCAGCAGGAAGATCAGGATAGGAGGCTCCCGCTTGCTCCAGATTAAAGGAACACGCAGTTTCCGGGTGAAGAGAGGGGGTTCCCTGTCCAGCATTCGCCGGGCCGGCAGCCTAAAGAGCACCAAGTTATCCCGTCAGGACTCAGAGTCTGAGAATGAGGAGCTGCAGCTGTCCCACAGCAGGGACACTGTCACTGACATAGGTAACACAGATGAGCTTGGTTAAAAAAAGGGAGAGGGATCTTGAGGTAGCAGCCTCCTTAGCTTAGGAGATCTAGGAAAGGGGCTTGGAGGCCAGGCAGACCTCCCATGGCCCAGGCTTGAATCAGGAATTCCCTTTCTTGCATGGACTTCACATTTGGCAAGGACAGAGCTTGAACCCTGCCAATACCTCCTGAAGTAGTCAGTGCTGCTCCACTCAGTGAATGCCAAATTTTAAAAATAGAAATGTTTGATGTGGACTCTGTACAGGCATTTTCCTGACTGCCAAACAAGTGCATGCCGGGATTAGGAAGGTATATATAAAAACAACATATATTATATATCAGTGGCATATATAATATATATGGTATTGTATATATACACTCACTCTCTCACACACATACACATCTCATTGCAATAGTATGTACTATGCATATACTTATATATACAATATGCATATATTTTGCTTTCTATGAGATAAATATATGTGTACTCGTCAATCTCCAAAATACTTGTTTCTAGAGATTTATTTTAGAGAAGAACTCAGAGACAGATACATCCTAAACCAATCTTTTTTTTTTCCGTTGTGGGTCTCAGTGGTATTGCCTGTGCTCTTTCTCTTCTGTGTAGACATCCAAGTCAATGCATATTTGCTTTAAGGGTGGGGGAAAGATGTAATTGGAAATACTGCCTTTTTTTAGCCTCAATACAATCCTATGCATATCTCCTGAGAAATTTCTCCCATTGAATTCAGTGGTGCTAACTCCCAAGCAAGTGGATATAGGATTGCAGCCATAATATCACAATACAGTAAACAAATTGTGTGCTAAAGTTCTGTCTGATTGGAAGGCCCATTGGCAATAAATGCATGCAGGAAACTCTGGGGTTTGAGAGAGCATTCTTCTGCCTTTTATTTTAAAATGTCCATCAGGATTTTTCTCTTTCTTCCCCCAGTGTTCCTTAACCCCTCGATGGGACCTAACAAGGCAGTAATTGTAACAAATTGCTGCCATTGCTGGAATATATGTATTATCTTTCTTTAACATGGAGCCCAGTCAATGCAGATCACTGAAACCAACAATTGGCAGAAGCATGATTATGCAAGAATTTAGTTTCTACTTACTCTCCCTCCCCTCTTCCAGAAAAGGGAACAATATTTATCCCTGATTAGTGGTCATTTCCATGGTGACTATAAATTATGCTTGTAATGATCAATCTAGCTAATTATTGGGACATGAAGAAAGGTTGGAGGTGACATTTTTAACTCACATTTCTTCCTGAATGTGAATGGCCTATTAAGAATTGTATGCTTCTGGCATATTATTCTGTTCTCTCTAAAAATATATATATAAGGGAGTAAAATCAATTGGTTTCATAACCCTGGTCTGGCTTACAAGCATATATATTAGATTCAAAATATTAGCATCAGAAGACAACTACTCTTGGATGTGTGTGTGTGTTTTTTTTTAAGAAGGAAGTCCTTGGAGTGCAAGTGAACCTAGTATAGAACCTGAAGTGCTCAGCAGCACTGGAACAGAAGATAACTATCACCGGAATATGACGTGGCTACATGTAAGTAGAGATTATTTTTGTTTCCCTAGAATTATATAACATTCACAGTTTGTCATCAGAGCAGAGGGGAATTAAAGTTGTTCCTTTTTATGAATAACAAAGTTTCAACTACTCAAGAATGTAATTGTCCTATTTCTAGAAATATTCAAAAGCGCCATTAAACAAAACTAGAAATAGAAGCTGCTATATTATTCAGTAGAATAATTTGCATTGGCCTTACTTTTGCCAAGACTCCCAGCACAAGGTATTTTAAGACTTAAGGAATCAACTGAGGCACTATAGCTGTTGAGTTTTACTGGTAGTCCTTGATCTATAACAATTTGTTTAGTTACCATTCAAAATTACAATGGCATTGAAAGTGACTTATGACCATTTTTCACACTTATGACTGTTGCAGCATCTCCATTGTTGTGTCGTGGGAACAGTGAGGCATTGAAGACACAGAGTTGAGATAACAGCTCTTTATTTAGTTCTCACAGAAGCAACTCTCGCAGCTGCTTGACTTATATTTATATGGACCGCCACTAGGCGGCGGCCAATCAATTTAAAGTACTCATTCCCGCCTAAAACAAAGGCTTAAAGTTATACAGACAGTCTATAATTCAAATAGAACAAGCAGTTAACCATTTTTTATAACAGACCTTATGAATTGCTTAATACATAACACCCATGGCCACATGATTTACATTTGGATGCTTGACAATTGGTTCATGTTTATGATGGTTGCAGTGTTCTAGAGTCAGGTGATCACCTTTTGCAACTTCTGACAAAGACAATGGGGAAGCCAGATTTACTTAACAACTGTATTACTAATTTAACAACTTCAGTGATTCACTTAACAAATGTGGCAAGAAAAGTCATTAAATGGGGCAAAGCTCACTTAACAAATTTCTCACTTAACAACATAATTTTTGAGCTCAGTTGTGGCCCTAAGCTGAGGACTGCTTGTATTTCCTAGAGCTATGTGAACGCAAAAAGTAGTATTTGATTAATTGCAGTTCAGTTGGCAGATCTTTCACTGGGATAATGTTTGGTGGACTTTGAAGATCAATCAGAATGGATAGATGAATGAATCAGAAAAAAAAGTGTAATTAAAATAATACATTTACAATGTGTCTAAATCCTATATCCTGAGCCAAATTAAGATGATTTAGAGAGATTCAGATGTCCCAAGTTAAAAGTGGATTTCTCTGATGCAATCTAAACTCTTTCAAGCTCTTATAGTTGTTTCCTAGATTAGTAATAACAGCATACCTCACAATCTTTCAAACATAAATCCAGAAGTCAAGGGGAGTAACATAGACAGATTTTTTAACTCCTGAAGCAAAGCACAATCCAGTCTAATCTAGCTATATTTACAAATCTCCATAATGCTATGGCCCTGATCTGTATTGGCTGTTTTTATTAAAGCTGTTTCTTGGCTCATCTGATGGCAGGGAGAGGGAAGGAGGATTCAGAATTGGCAAGCGTTCCTTCAATTCGAAATGTGTTTTGTGGTCAAGCAAATTGAGCCAATCAAATTTCAAGCTAAGCTTTTGCCATTTAAATAGCGAGTTGATATATTAGTAAAGAATACAATAAAATGTATTACAAAATGAAATGTGGAAAACTCTGCCATGGCCTTTGGAACAAAGGAAAAGGGTATTGTTTGATCTCACTTTGCACTGGAGCATTTCATTGATCAACTGCACAAATATGTTTAACTATTAAGGTTAATGAGTTGAGATATTTGCTTTATCTCTCATCCATGAGTTATTTGTCAAAGTTAGTGAAATATTAAATTGAAGAGAATGGGGAAGGAGACAAATAGTTTGAAAACATTTCAAAGATTTTGTTCTCTATGGTTTCTGATATCTAAAAAAGGAGGTTCACATAATTTTCTCTTGGCACAAGGACTGCAATTCTATAAACATTCATACTTCATGCTTCCAGGTGATGGTCTTGCTGTGCAACCAGCAGAGTTTCATTTGTACCCATATTGATTACTGCCACCCTCACTGCTACCTCCACCACAGTCGTTCGTGTGCACGTCTTGTTCGGGCCATCAAACTTTTGTATGGAGACACTGTGGATTTGCTTAAAGAAAATAACTTATTAAATGGTGTGGCCAGAGGCAAAAAACAAAAAGAGGTAAGAGGTAATGAATAAATTAATTAATTGCTCATTTTTCAGCTGCCTAGACATTTATTTCAGACTGTCACACTTGGCTGCTACTCTCTCACAGGTGAACAGATGTGAGAGGAGTTTCTAAGAACTATGTTTAATATAGGATCCTTCCCTTAGTGAAATAATTTATTTTTATTTATTAAATTTGTTTGCTGCCTATGTTGCTGTGATTGTTTTGGTACAGGGAGCAAAGGGGCAAATGAATGATGAAGCAAGCCTCATGGCATAGGCCCCATCCTTTTTGAGCATGTGTTATACAAATGTTGTGAGGGGTGGAGCTGACCTCATAATATTTGTTTCAACATTCTGATGAGACTGTTAGATCCTATGAAACCTGCATTATTTTGGATGATGCATCATTTTGGAAACAGGCCAAGAAGGAAATGTCAGCTTCTCTAATTATCAGTGGTTTCTGGTCAACAAGGGAAAGCTGCATTAGTTAAGTGTATTATTATCAGAGACAGAATTAGACCCCCCCCCCCAGCTTCCACTAATGACCTAACTTCTGAAAGCACTCAGAATTGTTTAGGTCAATTATCTTTCAGTGTTCAGACAAGTCATGCCTCAGAACACCGTCCCTGAAGAAAAGAGTGATGGATTCTAATCTCGAAGGAAAAAAAGACTCTGGAATGCTGAAATACATAAGGCATCAGGTAATGTGAATTTCATTTACTTACAGGAATAATTCACTAGTGTATATATATATATATATATATATATATATATATATATATATATATATATATATATATATATATATATATATTTCTCCTTTGACTTCTGTTTAATTATCTATGGTGTCTGGTAATACTGTACATGTGGTAGAATGTTGGCAATGCACAGTTTGCATTGCATGTAACATGTGATGGAAACATGATTCAGCTGCCCTACTGCCTTGCGCCTAGACACTATGTGCCTAGTAACATAGGTCTCTGTGAAGTCTCAGCACTATAGGACTGTCATATTCACTGTTGATAATTCAGATTATCTAATTTATCTATAGGTAGTCTTCAATTTACTACCATATTTTATCCTAGAATTACTATGATAACTCATGGTAGTTGTTAAATTGGTTACCACCTGACAGTGCTCAATTTTACAAGCTTTTTTTGTACTGCTTATTAAACAAAAACTGTAGTTGTTAAAAG